TTGTGCCCAATCATGAGCCAGCATTCGCCATTCCGTTTGGAAATGGTCCGTTGAGATTCGGTACCCAGGGGCTCTTCCGCCCGTGCTTGAATACTTTCGTCGCGTCTTTTCTCCCGGCCCGATCGACTGACTGCCCCTGGGTCTCTGAGGATGCAATCGCTTCGACCTCTACTAGCATCATAATATGTCAATTACTTCTTTGACCACAACTACACCTGTGGCTTATGAAATATTCCAGCATTACATGTTAAATATAGAATCCAGGCATTTGTTAAATTTAAGCGTCCAGAATGCACTAGATTGCATCTCAGAGAACTTCAGTCTCAAAAATTTTCCCGGAGGAGCATATGCCCTAAACTCCCTGGAAAAGTGCGCCGTTCGCAATTCTGATGGCCGCTATTACGCCCATATTGCCACTGTATACTATATCTCTAGGGCTCCTCTATCACAAAATCCTCCGTCTGCCCCTGGTTTGACGGCTGACGGTTAGCTTTGGTAGTTTTGACGGTTGAGGGTTAATATTTTACCAATTTTGACCGTTGACGGTTAAATTTTACAGGTTTTGACGGCTGACCGTTAATTGTGGAAATTTAGTCCAAGAGTATATCGTTAAATATTAACTTCCGTTTCAATTAATATCCTCTATATATTATTATTCTCCTTTTGGAGGTTGTAATAACGGGGTAGTCGTAAGTCAAGGTTCCGACACTGCACGAAAAATTGGATTTACTCACATTTACTCATGAGCAAATATGATGCAAACGCGGCACAAATGTGTGACAAACATGGTAAATGCCGTATTTACTCACACATTTACAAGCCCTTTGTAAAAGTGAAGTAAATACGGCGTTTACCATGTTTGCCACACATTTGCACCGCGTTTGCATTATATTTGCTCATGAGTAAATGTGAGTAAATCCAATTTTTCGGGTCTTCTTAGCAACCGCCGTTTGCATCGAGAACACTCAGCGTTCTTCACTAGTTATGCAGGAATGAGCATTATTTGTGTTTTAGGGGCGTTTTGTGTCAGAGCGATTCTAAAGAGTCTTAGGTTGAACTTTTTTAATTGTCGTTCCCATTTGTCGGGTAAACAGGGAACTAAAATCTAGCACCCACCTGCATTTTTCTCTGGTTTTTGGCAACATAGCTATTCTTAATTACTCCTTCGAGTACGCTGATTTCGAAAATCATTGTTGACAAGCTCAAACCTTGTGTCAAGATGGTGTTTTGGGGAATTTTATTATGACGTCTTTGTCCAAATAAGGTGTCTTCTTTCCTTTAACAATTTTAAGTTTACCAAAACGAAAAAACGCTTAGAGTTTGTGATAAGTGTACTGCAAAGATGATTAAGAACATTTCTGTGACAGTTTTTATGCTGTTTCACGAATATTAAACCGTCACTTGACAATTGACCACGCCCTTTAATATAAAATTCTTATTTCTGGTTAAGGTACTTTTTGAGGAATGAATGTAATACTTGTATTAACAAAAAGCTGTAATTAAAAACATACTTCCATAACACGTGTTCTTGGGAGTGAAAACCTCTGTTCCTGCACCAAGCGCGTTGAGGTAAAACCTTTTTACGGCTTATTGAAAGGTGAAAACTAATAAGAAGACAAAGGGTGCCCTGGAGTGACTAAATGTGACTGGAAGAAGAGTAGTGGCATTGTTGTTATCACGAAAACGTCCTCAGCGCTTAGCAGATGGCTTCTATCGTACAACCTAGGTTATGTTGTTTAACATTCACCACGATGAGCGCTTGATCCACAGAGAGAGTGCGAGGGAAAGACAAAAGAAAGATAATGCAGCTAAGAATGCACTACACCACAAAACACTGGGGTGTTCTTCACTCAGACAAAAGATCCTTCCTTTGACTTCGGAAATTGAGCAGTCTCTTGTCCAAGTTGTTCTAAGGGACAGACTCGCGTTGAAAAGCTTGTCCAGTGTAACGGAGAAGCGCTACATTCTTCAGAGACATAAAAGAAGAACGAGATTACAAAGTTAAAAGTGATAGAACTAGCTTCGAGAAAAACAATTCTGCAAGCAGACAGCTTATCAGGAACGAGGTAACAAAAGCAAGCCATATTGAAATATGAGCTAATGCCAGAGCGACCGTCTCTCGCAGAAATCATGAGCCACCGTTAAATATCGGAGGCAATCCATTAAGTCAACGATGAAGTTGACGCTCAAAGAACATTGTGCAGGAGGTATTGCAGGAAGAGATATTCCATTGTATAAGTATTTCTTGCACTAGGAGACAAAAAAGCGGACTTAGTATGGTTTCTCTCAGACAAGCGTATCGCGCAAGCAGTCGTTGACTCTACAATCGTCGTATCTGGTGGTTGTTCAAATTAAAAGCAATTTTCTTTTTGGATCCTTTTCTTGTTGTGGCTGCTTTGAAATCCAACCACGAAGAAGGCGATAGGAAATTTTGTTCGCTATGTAATCATTCTTAACGGACATATCAACACGGTTTGGCGCTAGGCACACATTCCAAAAGTGGTGCTTCAGGACCCAGAGGAGACAGGATGAACTCTGAAGCTGAAGATATACTGTTCCCTGTCTTTATGACCCTCGATTCAATCCAAGGAGGCTTGTCTGAAACGAGTTCCAAACTGGTTCGTTACTGGCTGCGCTGTAAATACAGTAAGTTGCATGTCGTATGCAGTCAGCTGTGTGGATGTTCTAAGGCGACGCTAAATGCTGCATCAACCGTTACTCGCTTATGTTAAAAGCGTTGTAGTCTATTTGAGAGAGCTAAGAAATACTATTTACAATATTTACAGTACTAAACAACAGTTTTTTTTGACAGAATGAAACCTTGGAGTAAGGAGCAACGTCCCGTCATGTTTTATTCGAAAATGTTATGTGAATTTAGCCAGTCACTATCGTGAACCCGACAAAGTTAATTGTGAAATGACTTATATTCAACAATATACAAAGAAATACTGAAACTTTATCTCCAGCTTTAAAAAAGAAAATGTTTTTGACGAAAATATCACAACTATACATTAAGGGGCGTATTTGCGCGTGGTCGATGGTAACGTGACGGCTTCATAATTATTCGAAAACAGTGTAAAAACTTCAGAAGTTCTCCTAATCATCTTTACAGTACAAATCAGCTAGCAACAATGCCATCGTGCAAATGGCCCATTGAGCTTGGCAACAATGATTTTCAAAGTCAGCGTACGCGTATTCAAGTTAGTAAAAATAGCGTTGTTGCCAAAAATCAGACAAAAATGTCCGCAGTTGTCACATTTTGGTTTCCCGTGTAACCGACTAAATATCTTGAACTATTATTTACGATGTTTTTTGCCATACAATATCATAAATTGAGGGTTTTACGCAAAGTCCAATCATATTTGAATATCTGACGGCTCTCAAGTGGCTTGGGTTACCTGTTGTTTCACGCCGTTCAAGATCTCAACGTTTCTTGTTTCAGACTGCCACGTTGAAACATGAATTGGCCCAACTGTTTATTCCCTATACTGCTTGTTTTCACCTCCATCCTTCTGACGTCAACTGAAGCGTTCTTCTTTAGAAGATTACGGATCAGAATCGGAACAATACCAACAACCAGACCACCTGTAGTTATCCCTACAGAATGCAATGAAGTGATTGACGGTGTATGTTACCAGTATTGTACCGGAGGAGGTTGCCACATGGAATGTTTTAACTCAGAATATTACCATTCCTGTTACCAGTTTTGCAATGGTGACTATCTAGTTTAAGCTTACTGATGGACCTTTTAATTTTTTTTCGATCGGTTTCTCCGGTTTTTCTGGTTGGGAAATGAAATTGACCCTCTGCCGTCGGCCACTTTTTATGGAAAACCCGCATTTTGGACCAAATCCTCCTTTTTGAACCGTTTTCAGCCAGTTAGCATGGGAACAGCTAAAAAAGAGGTTTCCAACACAAAGGACAATTTTCTGCTAAGTGGATGTAATTAAACGGCCTTTTTGTTTTTCACGTTCCAGCTGGTTGTTGTAGACAGTCGGCATGTAAGCGCGCGGAAGCGCTCTTCTCTCAGATTGAAAATTCATTCAAGGCGTCGTTTTTCAAAGTGAAGTGTCAGGAGCCCACAATTCAAGTGCAGGCCACTTTTCGTACCTAATTATGCCACGCTAGAGGCCGAATTGGTAACTCTTTGCTATGTAGAGCATGATCCGTTGATTAAAAATTGGTTATTGCTCGTGCTGCCTTGATCTAGTTTTGCCAGTCTCTCAGATAGTATAATGGGGACGTACTAAAACGAGCAGAGCAAAAATACCGGACGCGCACGTCTTAGGAAAGGGGGCAGTGGCGGCGAGAAAAATGAGATGAGAGCCACCGCCCTGTCTCTCCCCAGCCCCCGCGCGTTTTTCGCACTTCTTTTTACACCTTTTTACTGAACGACTTTTCATCACTATCTTGGAGCCTGGAACAGGATACCTTGATCATGCTCGGCTCACTACAAAATCCAAGAGCGTTTGCTTTCCCTGTTGTATGGAAATGAACAGTTGTTGCAGCTCACGCGATGTCGATACAATGTTTCCTTTTCGCTCACTCACAAGCTTCCGTCTCTTGGTTTCCTAAAAATTGCGTCATCTTCTAACTAGTTTGAAACCTTCCCAAACGTTTAGAGAACACGACCTACTCGACGATCTGAAGCACTTCTTATGACATCGATCCCTAAAACACATTTTAAATTTTAACTACATATTTGCCGAGTGCAAATTTGTAATCATCATCCCGAGTCATCATCATCATCATCATCATAATAATAATAATAATAATAACAATAATAATAATAATAATAATAATAATGCTAAACAATAATGATGATAATGATAAAATTAAGTTAAAGCAATGCTATAAGGGCATACCCAACTGTTAGACTGGACTGTGCATGTTCTTTCAGCACTGAGTCTTAAAATAACAAATTCCTGTGTCAGAGGGACAGGGAAACGTTTACTACGTTTAAAACTTTTATTTCATTTTATCTAGATGGAAATTGTAACATGGAATGCTCGGCTCCCACTAAGTGCACATTCAGCTGTACAGGGGGAAAGTGTGCAACAGTTGTATGCAAAGCTGATACTTGTGAACAGAGTTGTACTGGTGGTGGGTGTGGTCTGGAATGCCATGGAAGCAGCTGTGACCAAAGTTGCACATCAGGCAATTGTCAGCTGCACTGTCCGAGTGAGGGAGAGAAATGTGATCAGTGGTGCTTAATCGACAAAGACCAGTGCACCATAGAGGAAACTGCTCCTGATGAGTGTAATGGAGGCGTGGAGGATGGCGTATGTTATCAGTTGTGCAACCTAGGGGGCTGTGATATGGAATGCTATGAAAATTCGTTATATTACCATTCCTGTGAGCAATCCTGCACTGGTATGTTTAAAGGTTCTGAGTGTATGTTATTCTCTTAGTTTATTTATTATTGTTGCTTCTATCATTTCTTTTTGTTCACTAATGTGAAATGAACCTCTAACTTCACAATACTTACCAATGTACTCACAAAAACTTCGCGACATGTGTACGCTACCTCTACTATAAACGATTGAAAGTCTAAGACGAAGTAGCCTGCGAACAGCAGACGCATTTCCGGTCGTCTCTTCTCTCCCTCCGAAAAATAGCGTCGCTATTTTTCCGAGGGATAGAAGCGACGACCGGAAATGCGTCTGCTGTTCGCAGGTTAAACACGAAGTCATCTTTATGCTATTGTTTATACAGGCAAAGCCACCGGAAGAAATGAACTTACATTTTTTAGGTCTGGTAAAAAAGGTTCTCGTATTTTGGGGTAATTACTGGCAATTAAGGATAAGTAGGTCCTTATACGCTCGTATTCTATGAAGGATATATGATATAGTTGACTATCACAAACATGAAAAAACTGAAGTATACAGTATTTATTCATACCTGCACATTGCAAACTTCCTTTACGTAAGGTCTATATGAAGACAGTTACAATCTGTTCTTTTTATAAACCTGTCAGTTTCGTTGTAGGAATAACTGTAGCCTTACTGTAATACTTCTATTTGTAATTACAGTTTGCTGCAGCATTTTCTTGTAATGTCAGTTGGCAATCTTGAAGTAAAATTCCTTGGTTAAAATTCGATAAAATGTTTATCATATTATTTACCTGTGACTCACATATAAGAACCAAACCCATTTTGCATGGCTAAACAGGCTTTTATGTTTTTGGGTATTTAAGTGCCAGATTTTTCCACCAGGTTCTTAAACTTCTAGGTTCTTATTAGCCGATGATTACCGCAGTATTTACAACCCCGTATTTTTGGTATGTAAATGTGGCATTTACCATCTTTGCCCCAGATTCACTCCTCAGTTTTTACATTTTTTCTACATATTTGGTGAGAGCAAATTTGTAATCATCATCATCATCATCATCATCACCATCATCATAATAACAATGATAATAATAATGCTAAACAATAATGATGATAATGATAAAATTAAGTTAAAGCAATGCTATAAGGGCATACCCAACTGTTAGACTGGACAGTGCATGTTCTTTCAGCACTGCGTCTTAAAATAACAAATTCCTGTGTCAGAGGGACAGGGAAACGTTTACTGCGTTTAAAACTTTTATTTCATTTTATCTAGAAGGAAATTGTAACATGGAATGCTTGGCTCCCACTAAGTGCACATTCAGCTGTACAGGGGGAAACTGTGCAACAGTTGTATGCAAAGCTGATACTTGTGAACAGAGTTGTACTGGTGGTGGGTGTGGTCTGGAATGCCATGGAAGCAGCTGTGACCAAAGTTGCACATCAGGCAACTGTCAGCTGCAGTGTCCGAGTGAGGGAGAGAAATGTGATCAGTGGTGCTTAATCAACAAAGACAGGTGCACCATAGAGGAAACTGCTCCTGATGAGTGTAATGGAGGCGTGGAGGATGGCGTATGTTATCAGTTGTGCAACCTAGGGGGCTGTGATATGGAATGCTATGAAAATTCGTTATATTACCATTCCTGTGAACAATCCTGCACTGGTATGTTTAAAGGTTTTGAGTGTATGTTATTCTCTTAGTTTATTTATTGTTGTTGCTTCTATCATTTCTTTTTGTTCACTAATGTGAAATGAACCTCTAACTTCACAATACTTACCAATGTACTCGGAAAAACGTCGCAACATGTGTACGCTACCTCTACTATAAACGATTGAAAGTCTAACACGAAGTAGCCTGCCAACAGCAGACGCATTTCCGGTCGTCGCTATTTTTCCGAGGGATAGAAGCAACGACCGGAAATGCGTCTGCTGTTCGCAAGCTAAGCACGAAGTCATCCTTATGCAATTGTTTATACAGGCAAAGCCACCGGAAGAAATGGATTTGCACAAATTCGCTCTCGACAAATACAGTAAACACCCGCGTACAAGAACTTACATTTTTTAGGTCTGGAAAAAAAGGTTCTTGTATTTTTGGGTAATTATTGGCAATTTAGGATAAGTAGGTCCTTATACGTTCGTATTCTATGAAGTATATAAATTATATGATATAGTTGACTATCAGAAACATAAAGAAACTTAAGTTTAGTTCTTAAGTATACAGTATTTATTCATAACTGTACACTGCAAACTTCCTTTACGTAAGGTCGATATGAAGACAGTTACAATCTGTTCTTTTTATAAACCTGTCAGTTTCGTTGTAGGAATAACTGTAGCCTTCAGTGTAATACTTCTATTTGTAATTACAGTTTGCTGCAGCATTTTCTTGTAATGTCAGTTGGCAATCTTGAAGTAAAATTCCTTGGTTAAAATTCGATAAAATATTTATCATATTATTTACCTGTGACTCACATATAAGAACCAAATCCATTTTGCTTGGCTAAACAGGCAGAGGCGTAGCGTCCTTTACGCAAATACGCAAGTGCGTACCTGAGAAATTGGTAAGGTTTTTTTAAAACTTTTCTGTTATAAGTAAAAGCCATTTATTCTCTATTTTCCAATTGCCCATAATACACTCTGTTTGCCCCCCAAATTCTGCATAAACCATTGTTTTTAAATGCTCCTGGGAGTATTGCATTTTCCCAAGAGCATTTTAAGACAATAAGTTATGCAAAATTTGGGGGGCAAACAGAGTGTATTATGGGCAATTGGAAAATAGTCAATAGTGTCGTGACTTAACCTTGTATTGTGCAAATTTTTTCCTGTCTGTATATGTATTCCCCATTATTTTTACACCCAAAAAAACAACAGTTTGAGAAGTGGAATGTGATAAATTTGAAACATTTTTCACAGTACATTACGTTTTCATGAAAAACGAAGGGGGACTCGGGAAATTCATGCAAACACATTTGTCGCCACAAAGAATCGACTCTGACTGATTATAATTCCTTTCAAGATTTATCTGGAAAGTTTTTCCATTCAAAAGCTATTGATTTTTTTAATTTCCTCTCTCCCTATAAATGTCGAAAAAGTCTAGCAATTAATATTACTTTAATGTCGTTCAACTGGATTATCATGGACCAGACCAGGCGGAAAATTTACACAGCCACGCACACGTCGCAAGGCTTTCAACCGATGCATTTAAACTCCAAATTTCTGCACAGAAAAAGTACACTTTAAGTGGACATTTTTCTTCAGTGACAGGCGAAAAAACAAAAGCGACAGTAGAGCTAATCTTTTATTCTTAACATGAAATGTTTTGCTAAATTTTCTTTTAGAATTTGAAGGAAACATCTTATTTGAAACGACCTGAAACAAGTTTTGAATTCCGTGTGAATTATTCAGTGCTTTGGAATTATTTAGCGAAGGCGCCTCGCCTTGTGCTTGTAACCATTCTAGTACCAGCAGCTCAAAGAAGAACGTTTTAAAAGCCTTTTCAATGTCACGTTATATTATAAACAACCCTGTAAACTGCCGAAATATGTATTAAAGGAAAGGCCGCCCCCCGAGGGAGGGGGGGGGCAGGGGCAAAAACTTTATTTTATACAAAGTTTTTGAGACCATATGGACCCGTGTGCGTATATGCCAAAATGGTCACGCTACGCCCTTGACAGGCTTTTATATTTTTGGGTATTTAAGTGTCACATTTTTGCAACCAGGTTCTTAAACTTCTAGGTTCTTATTAGCGGATGTTTACTGCATTATTTACAACCCCGTGTTTTTGGTATGCAAATGTGGCATTTACCATCTTTGCCCCAGATTCACTCCTCAGTTTTTACATTTTTACTACATATTTGCCAAGTGAAACATTGTAATCATCATCCGTCATCATCATCATCATAATAATAATAATAATAATAATAATGCTAAACAATAATGATGATAATGATAAAATTAACTTAAAGCAATGCTATAAGGGCATACCCAACTGTTAGACTGGACAGTGCATGTTCTTTCAGCACTGCGTCTTAAAATAACAAATTCCTGTATCAGAGGGACAGGGAAACGTTTACTACGTTTAAAACTTTTATTTCATTTTATCTAGGTGGAAATTGTAACATGGAATGCTCGGCTCCCACAAAATGCACATTCAGCTGTACAGGAGGAAACTGTGCAACAGTTGTATGCAAAGCTGATACTTGTGAACAGAGTTGTACTGAAGGTGGGTGTGGTCTGGAATGCCATGGAAGCAGCTGTGACCAAAGTTGCACATTAGGCAACTGTCAGCTGCAGTGTCCGAGGGAGGGAGATAAATGTGATCAGTGGTGCTTAATCAACAAAGACCAGTGCACCATAGAGGAAACTGCTCCTGATGAGTGTAATAGAGGCGTGGAGGATGGCGTATGTTATCAGTCGTGCAACCAAGGGGGCTGTGACATGGAATGTTACGAAAATTCGTCATATTACCATTCCTGTGAACAATCCTGCACTGGTATGTTTAAAGGTTCTAAGAGTATGTTATTCTCTTTATTTAATATTGTTGCTTCTATTTTGTATTAATGTGAAATAAACCTCTTACTTCACAATACTTACCAATGTACTCACAAAAACGTCGCAACATGAGCACTACCTCTTCTGTAAACAATTGAAAGTCTACCACAAAGTTGCCCTTATGTTACTGTTTATACAGGTGATGCACTATAAAGCTGAGGAAAATAAACTCTGTGCAGTGTTTATGTGAACTGTTAGTGTCCCTTACATAACATAGTAACTTTTAAATGCATGCTGTTATGCTTTGTTCTCCGGTTTTTTCAAACGTTTTATGTCCCCACCACAGATAATTACAGTAATAATAACAAAACAACAACAACAACAATGATAATGATAATGATAATAATAATATTAATAATAATAATAATAATAATAATAATAATGATAATAACGCCGTTTTGCAATCAGGTATATATACGATGAGTATCACTTCTGACTTTCCATTTTTTTAGTTGGAAATTGCAGCATGGAATGCTCGGCTTCCACAAAGTGCACATTTATCTGTACAGCGGGAAACTGTGCAACAGTTGTATGCAAAGCTGATACTTGTGAACAGATTTGTACTGGTGGTGGGTGTGGTCTGGAATGCAAAGCTGATACTTGTGAACAGATTTGTACTGGTGGTGGGTGTGGTCTGGAATGTAAAGCTGATACTTGTGAACAGATTTGTACTGGTGGTGGGTGTGGTCTGGAATGCCAAGGAAGCAGCTGTGAGCAAAGGTGCACATCAGGCAACTGTCAGCTGCAGTGCCCGAGTGACGCAGAGAAATGTGATCAGAGTTGCACAATCAACAAAGACCAGTGCACCATAGAAAAGGTTTAAGCCACGACCTCGGTTTATCAAACTCAGAGTCACATACATAAGCTTGAATAAATTGCCTTTTCATTTAAACTTTGTAAGAGCACTGCGTCTGAAGCGTCCAAAGGTTTCCTTTTTAAAACAGCCGAATACTGAGGGGCACCCAGCGACGGTTTCCTCCTAAATGCATTGAAAACACTTTTTAGGCTATCCAGTAGAGTACTTCTAGATCTTTAGCAGAGGCGGATCCAGGGGGAGGGTTGAGGGAGTTGCGTCCGCCCCCCCTTTGGGAAGTTTTCAAACTTGTCTGGCTACCCATCTCCCATGTCTATCCCTTTTTCATACCAAAAATAATGAGTTATAGTATAAGTTTCAGTGCAATCGATCATTACAAGATGGTTGTCGCTATTCCTCTTCTTGACAAAGATCGCCGCCCCCGCAATTTGCTTTGTCTAGTGTCATCGATTATGGTAAATAAGGCACTGCAGCTGGACGTTGAAGTAGAAGGCATGCTCTTAACTGGAAGAAGGACAATCCATTTCCCAAATCCCTTGGGAATGAGGTACTTAGATGGCAAACACTCTGGCAGCCAACAGATAGCGAGCTTCCAGACAACCTTTTATTAGCACTTGGTGTTTGCGATGAAGATGCTTTCCCAAACATCCATCGTCTTCTGGTCATTGCCTGCACACTACCGATCACAAGCACAGAAGCTGAGCGATCGTTTTCAGTAACGTAATGAAATGAATCAAGACCTACTCTAGGTCAACAATGCCTGAAGACAGCTTTGAAGAGCGATTCTCTGATCTCGCAGTGATCGTCACGCACTACTCCGAGAGATTCTAGGTAGAGGTAGACGAGATATGCCAGCAAGCCTTTGTAAAGGCTCATCCAAGAAGGACCTTTCAAGCTAGTCTGTTTGTCTCTTGTTTACCCGCCTTTTTAATCAAACAACTATCGTTGTTGCACTGTACTCTTAGTCGGTCCTTAATGATAGTGTCTCAGTATTTGACAAATTTATACCAGTCTGAAGTGAAAATGAAGAAAATCGACATATTCAAACATTACCCTTCCCCCTCCCGCATTCCTTTGGCCCTGGGACGTTTGCCTTGAACTCGCATACTTACAATCCCCTCTGTAAAAAAATCGTGGATCCGCCCCTGTTTATACATTCTAATCGGGGCTATCAAATTTATATCTGTTCGGTTATCCTAGGGCAACTTGAGTCTTTTCGAAATTACCAGGGCCTTATTATTGTTTTCCCGCAAATTTTAGATGCAATTTAAAGGTTTACGAAAGTGAGAATTTTTCTGATTCCTGAATGGAACGGTCATCTAGAAATCCTTAGCCTTCCTTAAGGTATATAAGAGCAGTTGTCTGCAAGATTCAAACTATATTGAAAAGTCGCTGCCACACTATCTCGCCGAATTGGCTAGAAATTGGCATGTAGACTTAATTTGGGGTCTTTAGTAAGGAATAGGTAACGTTAGGTTCTAATTCCTCCTATTTCGAGGAAATACGACTGCAAGTAAAATTAGCCTGCGAAAACATCCGTTTCTCCTCGCTCTTCGCCGCTGGGGATGTCGTCATGTCGTCATTTTGTTGCCATGACAACTCTGATGACATCGCAACCTTCATCATAACAAATTTTCATATTTTTCTAATACAGCTGTGGTGGTAATTTTTCCAAATCTTTGCTAAAGGCGACGTAGTTTATGCATGTGTTTATAACCTATCACGTGATCATTCAAGGAGACTCCTCGGAATGGTATGAACTTATGGCGTCGCTCCTTCGGCGGGTGTGGATGATCACGTTTCGCTTCTTTTAGCTCTGCAGTTCCATTTTTTTTCATCTTATTTAATGAAAATATCTCGCTTTAAGCCTTTTAAGTCGGGAATTAATCTCAGTGGTTTGATGAAATGGCTCGGCTGAAGGCAAGACCACACCAGCGAGCATCCAAGCGGAAGTCTCAAGATCGTTTGCTTCGTGAAAGCTCGCGGCCTTCTTCCAGCAAGCGCTTGAGATTACAAAGTCCAGTGGAGAAACGACCACTTCCTTCAAAGAAAGGGAAAAATAAAAAAGGTATGGTATAGGATTTTTTAACTACAACGCGAAAGTCAAAAGTACGACGACTGTCTTTGTCGGAATCCCTCAATTTGTTCGGAATTATGGAATATTCTCGAGCTAATGGCGGACGAATTCTCGGATCATGTTTCGACAACTGAGCCACAAATATTTTATGAAATGCAAAGCTAGTGTTACTACTCTATGTTAAGCTATTAATTTGAGTTTTTGCATAGATATTTTCAAATTCAGGTATGCCATAATGAAAGTAGAAGCAAATCAGAACGAAATTAAGTGAAATTTGAGCACCTTCATTCGATATTCAAAGCACAGGACACCCAGACTCGGTGCTAATACCACAGCACTCGCGAATGCTTAAAAATTAGTGTGTTTGTATGGGGTAAAATTCAATCTAAAATTTGTATGAAATACTGGAGGAAGGAATACTGAAAGAAGTGTTTGAAACACTGAAGGAAGAGACGAAAAACGCTGTTGGGAAGAAAAACTAACTTTATGTACGAAACCCATGGTGCAGAGGTATAATAGGTTTGCCAGGGACTAAATACCATGTGGTACGGTTACTTAATGGAGTTCTTACATGTACATTTGTGTTTAACACAGTCAAACCTCTCTTCAATGGCTTTTTCCTCTTTGTGACCTCTCACATGAAAACGTTCCTTAAGAATGAACGCACCACAAGCACACGGTCGAGAAATGGATAGCCAAGCCATTTGAAATGGAATGGCTTAACGGATGAAGAAAATTTTTGCACGGATGCAGTCAAATGGGTGGGCAGATGAAGAAAATTTTTGCACGGATACACGTATGCAGAAAATTTTTGCATGGATGCAGTCAAACGGATACATGTCTAATGAAAATTTTTGAACGGATATTGTGGTTGAACGAATGAACTGCTAACAAAAATTTTTGAACGGATAAGGTCGAACAGATAAACAACTGAAGAAAGTATTTTTTAAAGGATGAACAACTGAAGAAAATAATATTATTTTTGAATGGATGCGGTTGATCGGTCAGACGACCAAAGAAAATTATAATGTTATCTTAATCACCATTCTGAAACAAGTGCCTTTGCGGCTTTATAAATTAAGAGTAAATGATGCGATTTCGCTGCGGAGAAACATAAATCATAACGTCTGCACGTGTCCCCTGCTGTTTTGTGTTAAAAAAAGCAACATTTTGCCATGCAACCATTTCTACAATGTGTAATACAACAGACATGTAATGACAAATAATAATGACTCTGTGTAAATAGTACTGCGAAATAAACGTTGTTTTTGTGATGAAAGTTCCATACACAAAGCATATCTCCACTTCAACTTTCTCTTTGTCCCAGTTGACAGTCACCACCATTCCTACAGTTTAATCTAGTTATTATTCGTTGATTATTCATGTTGGTGTGATTCCGGTCTATTGCTTTTGTGGAAAGTAACACAACGCATTCGATGGATGCTTGCTAGTCTGTTTGCACAACAATCTGATTGACATGATTAATCGTAAAAGATGACAAGATAGCAACTAATATAGATGTACCGTAAGCGATAGCAATACTGAAATGAATTGGCTTCTGACATTTATCAATTTATATGGTTTAATAACACAGAGTGTATTGCAATTCAACAGTTTTAATCGGACAAATGGAGAGTATTTGCTTTCTAACTTAACTCACATGAGTTTGCGTTTGCATTTTTAATGATCAGATGAACAGGAAAAGTTCACTGACATCGTTTGATATTTGCATACGAAAAGGTCAAACCATGAGTCGTTCGAACTTGTTATTTAAACTTAGTCTTGAATAAAATGTGTAACGATAAACGAATGTTATAAAAGCCAAGATCGTTATTCAGCAGAACACGAACCATGACAATTCATTAGGGTGGTTAACACAACGTTTGTATCAAATTATTTACATTTTTGACAGGTTTGTCATGTGACTCCTGCCCGAGCAACCAAGTCGTGAACAGCTCAAGTGAAATCGAATCCGCGGCTGACAATAATTACTGTTTTGAACAGATAGCTTGAGCTGTTTGAACGGATGACAATTTTTTTGAATGGATGACACCTTTTTTCTCACGGATAGCCCAAGCCGTTCGAATGGATGCAAATTTTTTTCGCGCGGATAGCCCGAGCTGTGCGAACGGATGCAAATTTTTTTTGCATGGATAGCCTGAGGCGTTTGAATGGATGCAAATTTTTTTTGCAGGGATAGCCTGAGCTGTTCGAACAGATGCCCAATTCATTCAAACAGCTAATGCACGGCATGCACATGACTATCCGTGCGAAAACGGCAAACCATAAGGAACATTTTTGTGTGAGAGGTCACATTTATATTCCTGACTAAGACACGGGAATGGGTGTGCAGATAGAACTGTGGAGCAGCTGATAGTTCGAGAGTTGAGATGAATACATTACAACTGTCAAAACCTTATATACCTAACAACAATAGGGTCAATTAACGCCATAGCGGCTCATGTGCATTCATACCAATAGGAAAGTATTTACATTCTCTGTCACTGCCACTACGTATGTAAATACATTTTTTTTCCTCCTGGTGGACAAAAAATCTTTACCTTGACTCATTTAAAACCTGTCTACAACGGCCACTTTCTTCTGCCCCCAAGGCAGCCATTGCTGTGAGGTTCAACTGTATTACAGAGTCGCAACAGGGAATTGTGTGATGAGTATTACATGCAGTTTTGAGTGGTCCATCATTAGAATTGGTTATCTTAGGACAAATACTTAATTTGCAAAGTACATTGTATGTATAAGTGACAAAGTTTTTAACAAATTCATTCCTTCCAGCATTTGAAATGTCCAACTCCCTATGGCCACTCCCTTTGAGTGAATAAACCTTTTTTGTTACCCCTTTTCCCACTAGAATTACCTCTGAAATACCCAGGTCCACTCAAATCTCTCCATTATCTCTCCATAGAGACTGGTAAAATGAATATCATTTTCTTGAATGGATAAAGTGTCTGTTACAATATGCAAAAGACTGCATACAAACCATATTTTGAAATTTGTCACAGAGTATTCAAAGAGTAAAGGCAATAAAATAGAAGGAAGGAAAAAGCCTTGTTCCTGGCTTAGCAAGGGTAGTTGACATAGTCATGCCCATAATAATTTTTATTATGGATTGTTTCAATGTCTTGACATAGAAAGGAGACAATAATTTATTATTATGCACTTATTAATAGCAACACTGTCTAACTCATTCCCATCTCTAACTCTTGGCCTGTACACTGTAACAGTGATATCATTATTTTTAATAATTCAAACTTACATGTACATGTATCTGGAGGACAGGGGGAGGGGAGGGGTCAGTGAAATATGTACAGTCGCCTCCCGATAACTCGAACCTTCAAGGGAAATCGAAAAAAGGTTTAAGTTATCGGGAGTTCGAGTTACGGGAGTTCAAAGAAAATAGCCGAGAGTAAGGTAGAAAACAGTTTTTACTGCACAGTGAACTTTTTAGTCACATTAAATTGTAGAAATGTCTAGTGAAAATTAAAAGATACTTCTAGATTTTAAATCAGAACGTAACGTAACAAAACATAGCCTAAATAGAGCATGCGTTTTACTGTTTTGGGAAGAAAAGCTGCTTCACGTTAGCCCGTGACGATGAACATCAGCCTCCAGTAGTAAACTATACTCCTACAACACGTCAATACGAAATCCAAAATTCAATGCTTCAGACGCCAGTAGACGGCTTTTTTCCCGACTTTTTAAGGACTGAAAACATGGTTTGAGTTATCGAGGGTAAAATTATATAGAAAATGACCTGAGGGGAAACGAAGATTGGTTCGAGTTAGCGGGAGTTCAAGTTATCAAGGGTTCGAGTTACCGAGGGTAAAGTTACAGTGAATGTATGACGGAAATCCAGGGGAAATCGATTTAATGGTTCGAGTTAACGCAAGGTTCGAGTTAGCGAGGGTTCGAGTTATCGAGAGTCGACTGAACTACATGTCTAGGGTAAGATTATAATCCACTGGCTTTCCTTACCAGGTGTGGGTGTGCTGGATGATAAATTTAACGTTATTGCAATTACCTTGCAATTTTTTTCATTTAAAATGTTGATACAGCTGTTCATGCATGTAGATAGAGATCTGCTGCTGAAATTTTGCAAACATCATGGAATACTATTGTCCCATGACAAAATAATCGTTATGCTTACATGTATACTGTACATTATTTTTGTAACAAACCATCTGCTTTGTATGACAAACCGGACACCACACTTTTTACTTGAAAAGCCTCCTATACAGCCCTGCCACATAATGGGGTTTTACATGGACACATAGGAATTGCCTTGCAAAACAATGAACCAATGAGTTGTACATGTACAGCTGTAATTATTGTTGTGTCAAATTACGGGTAATGCGTACTGGATACAAAGTGCAGTATACATGCAAGAACAAAACTAAGAGAATGATTAATTACCCACCCCACAGGTTCTGTAAAAAAATGTTATATGAGGAACATTGGCAAAGCCAAAAACTTTGCAGAAACAGCCATTTTCAAGGTTATCAATACATGTGAAATCTTGATTCCAATGGTCTCCTTCAGAGCATTATCCCCCAGTGTAACGTCAATGTAACGAAGGACCAATGAAAGGACTGGAAAAATTTGTTCATTATAATGAGGTTTCGTTATCAGGGTTCTATATCAGATATTTTGATATTAAACTTTGACAAGCAATCGGACGAATTCGTCTGAACAGAAAGGGTCTGCAGAAAAATTGGCCAGCGTGCTCTTGCTCGAGTCTTGGGTGACCTGTGGTGACTCCCTTTAGAAAGGGAACAAAATGGACGACAATTTGATGTCTGTTTCATCAATTTTGGTCAATTTTTCGATATTTTATCAATCTCAACAGCAAATGAAGTTTAAAAATGGCAATAGAAGAGTAAGATCGAGTATTGCATCATAGTTTGATGCAAATATATACTCACATTTAAAAAACATCACCATCCCCGAGAAAAATCCCCAAAAATGTAACTACAAGGCTGAACATTCGCGCAGTTGTACTTTAAAGTGTGTGATGCTGTCAACAAAAAGAGCTGGTTTCATAAGCTTGAAAGGTAACTTGAAGCGAAAATTGTCATTTTAGTGCCATTTTGTGTCGACTTGTCAAAGGTTTTAGCCATCATTTGGTAGTTCTCACGCTACTGTTATGCTTGCGTGGTGTCAAAACCTTGTTTGACATTAGATCAATATTTTATACTGGCTTTTATATATATTACTTCTGTTTGGAGTAGATATGCAGTGAAAAACTTGATATTTGGCAATTTTGAGACACACTTTTGTCAACTCATAATTTTTAAAAAATTCTCAAACTTAGGATACTTGGTTTTTGGGTACTAAATGCATGTTAGCTTCAAGGAAAATATTTCCCAAAACAGCCTAGGTCAATTTTTACATGATACTATTAAAATCGATGCCATACAATAATTTTCTGTGTTGGTAGTACCTTTAGCAGCGCGCCTTTTCCTTCCCAGAAAATCTGCCAGTTCAAGGGTTAATGGAGTAAAGATTTTAACTCACTAATTATGCTGAGGACTTACTTATGTATGCTGTACCTGTGCTCATAATTACTGTAAATTGAGGTTCCACTGTATGGAAGTCAACTACATGTGATTGACTATTTTCGAATAACCCATATCACACTCAGTTTGCCCCCCAAATTGTGCATAAATTATTGTCTTTAAATGCTCTTTGGAAAATGCAGTACATGTACTCGCAGGAGTATTTGAAAACAATGGTTTATGCAAAATTTGGGGGGGCAAACAGAGTGTTTTATGGGGGATTCAAAAATAACAGAATTTACAATGTACATGCAAGGAAAAGAAAAAATCCTGTGTTAAATTTCAGTTACCGGTAATATTAAGTTAAATTAGCTTTTGAATCCAGTGCATACTATTTAATACATGTACACACTGTACATTGTATATAGGTCAATTTGATTTCAGGTTAATTTTGATTTAACCTACGTTGATTCTCAATTCCCTTTGTCTCCTAGCCCTAATTATCATGAATTAGGAAAAAGGGCAAAGGAAATTGAGAATCAACCTAGGTTGAAAAAAATTTAACCTGGAATTAAATTTGACCTGAAACTTATATAGTGCTAATAGTTGACACTACAGCTGCTCCCCGCTCTGTATATTGTCGGTCAATAGTATTCTTGCTCGTTGTGTAGCTCTTGGAAATATACCGATTCATAATGAAGTTTTTCACACATATTTCATACAATAGGTGAGATAAATACAGGAAATGCAAGGTTCCGTGCACATTACAGAGCTTTGATCAACACTAATTTCTGTAATCATCTATCCTTCTACTGGTGATAAGCTAGCCGTTGTTCACTGGTCTTGCTTGTTTGGGGCTGAGTCTTATTCTGGTCAAAGAGAGAGAAAGAGTGTCTGGCAAGGTTTCCAATCACAGATTTGACAAACTCTCCAAGTGTTTATATATATACACAGTTGTACGCACCTTATGACCTTCATCTGCGCTTAATGAGATTGAGTGTCTTTTGGTCCATAACTTTCAAAACAACTACTCCACAGATTGTTACTGATAACACGTTTCGTAAAAGAGTATCGAAGAATTACTGCACAATAAATAATTTAACCTCACAAAATCGTCATCCTAACTATTTTGTACTTGTGGGCACAAACAATACAAACGTCATCATTACCTACCGATTCCTTGCGGCCCCTGTTCAAGCAAATCGAGATTTTTTCTGGTATACTGACTGTATATATCAACTGTAAGTACTTTTCTTAATAATACGCGTGAGTTACTAGGGAGCCTCCTCGGGATTTCGCCTTCTGCGTGAAATCCCTGTGGGGGCAATGATGTATTTTCATAGTTCAGTGCAGCATGTATTGTATTATGTATAATTGGTGTTTATGTATACAGACTGTGGTGTTCTTAACATGTATTCAGTGATTTTGTACAAATAGTTATGGTGCGTCCTGGGACTCATCTGGAGAAAGATCATGAGTCCCAGTCCATAACAAATGAGTCCCTGTTCAGAAAACAGTAATATTATTAGTCGTTGGGTGTTAATGTAGCCTCACAGTTAATCTGAAGACAGACTCCAAAACTCTGTATTACAGTTTGCTGAAATAATTTAATAATATACTCCTTCAGATTCATCTATAATTGATGGATCTGAAGATGTTTTTGCTGAATATCCTGTTGCAGTATGGCTGTTCTTGTGGCTGTTGTTTAGTGACGCATATTTTGCAAAGATTAATTATTTTACATCTTCGGGGATTTTTATGCATCAGGGATGCAGGATGCAGTGGTATCAAAATCACTGGTTGTTCTGATTGAGAAATGATCGTGGTTTTGTTCTTGATTTTTTTAAGGCAACTCTTCTTTACACCAGCCAGAAGATGCTCATCTTCCTCCAGAGCTGCGCAGGGCAGGGCTTATGGCGCACATTGACATAGCGGAAGGGAAATGTTTTGGACCATTCAATGGAAGAATAGTTAGCAAGATGAAATCTCCGGACAAAATGCACTTTTTAGTATCTTTAGTAAGTTTAATATAGCTACTGCCTGTTACAGTACATTAATTTACAGTATAAATGTGAGATAATTAACTTCATGTACATGAATTTAAATATATTCATTTTTCTTAAGTATTACTGACAGTGGAAATGTGCTTTATGACTAGTTTTTTTTTCTCCCTGGGCCTTTGCTCATTGGGAAAGAGAACTAAATAAAAATGTACCTTCCCAGCAGAAAATCTTATTTATTAATCCCAGATGACTGGACAACTGTTGTTTAAAGCCCTACCCCTCCTTGCTCATTATTTTACAGTGCAATTGAGTTTGTAGGTATCATATTGTACTATATCTTTTGATGTTTGTATCTTTTTGTTACCAACTGTGCTTTTGCTGTTCATGTAGGTTGGAGATAACCAAAAGAAATCACATTATTTCTATGCCCACAAGGGTGAAAAAGACAAGTGTAGCTGGCTAAGTCGTTTACAAAGTGCAACGTCAAAAAGGGAGCAGAATATTGTGGCATATAACTCTTCCAATGGGGTGTGCTTTGAAGCCATTAAAGATATCAAGGCAGGTGAAGAACTGATGGCCTTGTTTGATTCATTAAAAGGTACAGTTATAGTAGAGAGTTATTGGGCAAAAGTGGGGGAGAGGGAGAGCAAAAAAATGAAAGAAGGTGGAGTAGGAAGTTCCTCTCCCCGCCCCCCCCCCCACAGGAACATCCGCACTGCAACAGGATATTGTACAAAAACATCTTCAGATTCATCAATAATTGATGGATCTAAAGATGTTTTTGTACAATATCCTGTTGCAGTGCGGCTGTTCCTGTGGCTGTTGTTTAACGACACATATTTCTTTTAGTCTTGGTGGAGTAGGAAGTTCTCTCCCCCCCCTCCCTCCACCTCCGCTTTTATTTCTTTTTTCTTTTTCTTTTTTAATTTTGTTTTTGCTCTTGTAATGGCTTTTTTGATGAATGGCTGCACACAGAAAAGATTACTATGGAGGCTACAGTGAGACTCTACCAATCCTATAAATACTAAAAGTTTGTGTTGTTTAATTATTTGTTTTTCAGGGACTGCTAAAAATAAACCAGCTGTATCCTACATTACAGATGAAACTGGTAACCAGTTAGCTGTTCAGGTGGACCTAACAAGTGTCTGTGTTGAACCATTCAATGAGGGTGATGATGAAAACATTGATGTTGTCAATATGGGGACACAAGGAAGTGATCGTGGTACTCTGGAGGGAGAAGACAAAACTGATGATGACAATGGTGATGAAGAGGAGGATGAGGAGTATGAGATCGATGATGATGATGATGAGGAGGAGGAGGAGGAGGAGGAGGATGAGGAGGAGGAGGAGGAGGAGAAGGACAGTATGAGGATGACCCCAGTGAACACAACTGACGATGAGCATGATAGCGAGGCTAACATCAGTGATGCTGAAGATGTCAACTGGGGGAGTGCCCAGAAAAGAACGCGCCAGAAAAAGAGACCAAAGGTTAACCAAGTGACCACTGTTGATGATGAAGGTGGTGCAGGTACTTCTGTTGTGGCTTATTTTTACCTTTAATTTGAGTTTTATCAGTTTTCTGACCTTTTAAGACTTATCCATGTTAAGTGTATAGCAGGGCTGTCACTGAGATTTCAACTTGCCTTTTATATGCTGTTGGTAGGAAGATGGCGAGGTAGGTGGGGGATTTGAACAGCTTGGAGGTTCTACTGGTACTGTTAATTTTTCCCACCACTGGTTTCCCCACAAAATGACGTCTGAGAAATAACCACAGAAATTCCATACTCATGACGTTTCAGCACCCAAATCTGGGTAGTGCTTCTGATTGGTTGTACCACTAGGGAAATTGCTTCAACCAATCAGAAGCACTACCCAGGTCTGCATAGTGACACGTCATGAGTATGGAATTTCTACAGTCATTTCTCAGACATCCTTTCGTGGGGAAACCAGTGTTGGTTTCACAAAGTTAAGGTTAGCTGTTTTGTAAGGCTAGGTCATCAAAGGTTTGATGTTATTAGACCACATCCTTGTGTCTACTTTTACCAACGTTTTGAAGACGAACGACTTTCACCCTCTACATGTAACAAAGCAGCTTAAATAATGTCTGACTATAGTTAATAACATTTTAGATACAACCAAATACTGTTGCTCTCATTGTCTGGAGGAGTTCATGGACAAAGATAAAGCAGAAGAGCACTCAGCTTCCAGGGAATGCCTTTCCAAGAAATTCCAATGTGATACATGTACAATGGAGTATAAGAATGCCTCTTTACTTCAGAGACACAAGTGTGGAGGAAAGCCTAAGTATGAAAGATTTTACTGCAATAATTTTAATAATACAGTGAATACAATGAAAATAGCAATGGTGATGATGATGATATTAATAAGAAACAAAAGCTTTTTTAGTGGAGTTAAAACTCTTACTTCCCTTACATTTTGTACATGCTGAGTTAAATTTAAGTGCAATGATTATCTCCAAAAAAAATGGTTTTCAAACATTGCTTCAAAGTGGAAGCAGATTCAAAGTACTTGATACGATTGGGTAAACTGTTCCATGTTTTTGGTACATACCTGTTCTGTGAAATTGACACAGTGTTAACAAGAGGAACTTGTAAAAGTAATCCATGAGATGAGCAGAGTAAACAAGGCGGTTGTAATTTGATAGGAAGTGAAGACAAATAGATGACTTATAATTTAAATGATGATGATGATGATGATGATCCCATCTGTCAGCAGTATCACAGTCAATTTAATTTGTTGGTCGTGAGTTTGATTTTCACTGAGGTTCAAAGATTTTTTTCTTTGCCTCACTTGACTCCCTGATTCCCTTTTCGTGGGCTAATGCTTAATTGTTTTTTTCTGACATCCCTTCTGCTTTAATTCCCTGTGCTGTCCAGTCATAATAAATACTGTCAACCAATAATATTCACAGTAGTCCATCCAAGCAAAATATCCTGTGCCTAGAGATTGTACTCATGATTCTCTTTCAAGTTAATGCAAAAAAGGGAACAACAAATCAAGGATCTGACAAACAAGGGAACGCCAAGTTGTCTATTTGTATGACATAATTTTGTTGTCTAAAGTACATTATACTTTATATTGAAGCTTGCAGAAGTTGACTTTTATCCTGTTTTGTTTCTTTTAGTCATTTCCGTTTTCTTTATAGTGAAAGAGCCAGTTGTACAATATAGAATTTAATTGAACTGTGTTTGGTAGGTGTCATGTTTGTGATGAGGAGTTTGAGGAGCTGACACAACTTCAAGACCATCGGAATTCTCCTCCAACTGATCACCAACCGAGGTAAGGAGAAGAATTCTCTCAGGCTTTTGTGCAAACTACACCTACGCTAACAGTACAAAATAATTTTGAAGCAACAATTGTTTCCGCAACATCAAGAAACACTCCAGATTTTACTCGCGTGTATTCTGCGTGTAAGTCCATTTTACACTGAACATGCGTGTAAGTGCTGCAATCCCCGTAGTCAGTACTGTCGCCCCTGAAAAACAACAGAAGAGCATCCAATTCACTCTTCGAGCGGACAGAATACTATGCTTTGTGGTTTTGAGCAATTTTTTTTCCTGGGCCCGTAGTGTTTTGCTACCAAAGTAAGGGCAGATTACCCTGGCTCCAGAGGTCTGTTCTCGAAATGCCCAGGACATAGATAACCCGTGCGCGAGGTTTGAGAAAGCTCTCAGACTCTCGGTGCTGCTTCCCTCGCTGTCGCGGCTCCGCCACGAACTATTAGGAATTAGGGAGGAAAAAATCTCTACCATCCAGGGTAAGGGCAGGTGAAAATAAGTGGGAAACACTTTATCAGTCTTTTAATGAGAACCAGATCTCTGTGGCACTTCCCCTTCAAATCAGCGGTCAGTGGATACATGTATTTGGTTTTGTATATTGGTATACAGCTGCATGGTGCTGCGTCGGCACAGTAGACTTGTAGATTAGAAGAATTTTGGTATTATTACATAAAATTCAGTTTAAAAAAGTCTGGCTTATTTATTATTCACTTAAAATTCAGCGTGGCTGAGTGGTTAGAACTCCGGACTCGGGACTCGGAGCTCCCGAGTTTAAATCCCAGGCCACGCATGCCAAAGCATACAATGTACATTGTACAATGTAGGTCACACTCGTACTGTTAGTTTTATTCAGTATAGGAGATTGTCAGTAACGCCTTTTACTAAAGTAAAACTACTTTGGTGGTTCTTTTCGCAGATGCTTGAAATGCGATATACAGTTTGAAAACCTCAACATAAAAGTTAGGCATGAGCATACTAGACACGGCCCCCCTGAGAATCAAGAAGAATGCCCCGTCTGTCACAAGACCTACCAGAAATCGTACCTGAAGGAGCATATCACGACCCATAGCGAAAGCGATGCATTGAAATGTCCTCAGTGCGGCAAAAAGTTTTCTTCGCGCAGTAATTTAAACAAACATCGTAAAAAGCATCTACCGGGTTATGTTCCGAGCTCGGGGCCGCCGCGGGAAAAGAAATATTGCTGTGTTGAAGAAGGATGCGAGAAGAAATTTCACTCTAAAAAGGCCTTGGAGGTTTGTGTGATTAGTTATAGCGAAATTCGTTGTATCGCGGTGTGCGTTTTGCAAACTTCGAGGCAATTTTGGGTTTTTCTGTTCCATCAATCATCTTAGCGGACCTCTTAGGAAACACATGTTTACTTGCACGAGTTCAAAAGGTCATGGTTTTTGATTCGTGATTGGTGGATTTCGATCCGTTTTGTTTGTTTCGTGTTTCAAGGTTCGTTGCTTTGTGATCGTCCTGTTTCGGGCAATAATCGACGAGTTAAGTTTGCTTCGCAGACTTTTCTGATTTTTCTTATTCTTGTCACTTGCAAGAATAAAGCAACCTCTGCCTCCTTCCTTCGACAAAAAATCCACTCACCATCGCGATTTCCTTCGCTATTCTTGAGCAGTCTAGAGTCTTTCTCAATTAAGCTGGGCGAGCACGTTGCAATGTGATTTGTGTTAACCCTGGCTTCACTAAAATGATTGACGGAACAGAAAAACCCAAGTTTGCAATACGCACAGCGCGATACAACGAATTTCGCTTTAAAGCTTTAAAAGTATAGGGTTTCGCTCTTCCTTGAAACTAACCCCTCCCCAACTTGCTCGGTTCTCTGACTCAGAAAACTACTTGGGACGAAAGTACTGCCTTTGCCCTTCAGGCGGCTCGGATGACCAAGTAGAAATGGCGGTCCTGTCTCCAACTAGGAGACGTAAAACAGTGTCCTCAATTAGTACTGGCGTGCTGAATACATAGCCATATAGTAAATTATGTTTTTTAGCGCTCAGGTGAATGTATTACAGGTAGGGGCAAAGAAAAGAACATTTTTCTTAAAACGTTACAATAACTTTGTACTCGACAGTTGGAGGTCTAAAGCTACCCTATAACAGTTGCACTATAAAAAACAAAAACCAAAATTAAGAACAGCGCACGTGCAGTAATTGTTTATGAACGTGTAGAACTGTTTTTTTTTTTTTAATGAAATTCGGAGAAAAAAGATCCAGCTGTTCATGGACGGCGACAGCAGCCACAGTTCATTCAGCTAAACTGTTGTCGTTACATGAATTTCCACAGAGTCACCAACGAAGCCACACTGGAGAAAGGCCTTTTCATTGTGAACAGTGTTCTTGGAAATTCACTCAAAAGACGCACCTAACACGGCATATCAAGAGTGTTCATGACAAAGTTCCAAGGTCAGAGCAGTCAACGGGACGCTCGAATCTCCCCGTAAGGTGTGAAACATGTAACAAGATTTATGTCAACAGTCGCGTGTTAGCAGTTCACGTACAATCAGTACACCAGGGACTGAGGCCTTACAAATGTGAATATTGTGATGCAACCTACACTCAACGAGGTAAATAATTTAACTGGTGATAAGCCAGCTTCTCAACAGTTAAGTTTCTCAAGTTTCAGAACATTGCAGCTTGATCTGAAAGATTTGTTTTACAATACAATACAATACAATAACTTTATTTAAAGAGGGAAGCGCAATAACCTTTTACAGTTTTCTAACCTACGGCCCTCAAAAAAATAGATAAATAGATAAATAAATTTAGAAGACTAAAACAAATAAATTTATAAATATGTATATATATATATACACAAAAGAGACAATATTTAAAGTAGAATAGGCTAGGCTAGGTTTTAGTGGGTATTGTTGTTTGAGTAACGATTAACCAGCTTAAAACACGAACGTGATGGTAGAGTACGAGTAGTGCCCATTTCTCCTTAGGGATAGTAGAGCGAGCGAAACGCGAGCGCGCGTGAAAATCAACCTACGTGAGAAAAGCGAGACGCGGTGGCGAGAGAGGAAAATCAACGCGTCTCGCTTTTCTCGCGTGGGGTGATTTTCACGCGCGCTCGTGTTTCGCTCGCTCTACTATCCCTGAGGAAAAATGGGGACTACTAGTAGTCTAACGTGATGGTTGGTCAAGTGATTTCGGGCTCGATACAATTAGAATAATGAATAGAACAGCAAGAGAGGTTTTGAAGCCACTTAAAAGTTGAAGAGGAACCCAGGGGCCATGGAGCAGGGCTTAGAGGGGGGGACTAATCAGCGCCTGTTAAGGTGACCATACTAGGGAAATTCCGGGACATGCTCCCCTGGGAACATTTTAAATCTAGCTGATCTGAAATTGCCATAAAATATGAGTCTAAAACTATTTTGGATAAATAAAGGTAACTTCGCGTTCCATTTTTAAGAACCTTCTTAGACTTCACTTAAGCCCTGAGTATAATTTACTTACGTAACTGAGTTCCTTTTAAAGGGACAGGTTCATGGTTCAGCGCATGCTCATTTATCAAAATGCTGTTTTTCTGCCGGGACATGCTGTATCGTCTATGCAAGCAATATGATCATGTCATAATGTTGTCAAAGAATCAATCTGCACACTCCCCTGGCAGTCACTTGCACTTGATCAACTTAAATATTTGCAAATAGCTGTAAATTAATCAACCATGGAATAAAACCTTCCGGTCAACAATAACTTCAACGAAAATGAAGAAATGATCGTCGCAGTGAACGCAATTTATGCAATTGCGTAAAGAAGCCTGAAAAAAATTCAGGACTTCAACGGGGTTTGAACCCGTGACCTCGCGATACCGGTGTGATGCTTTACCAACTGAGCTATGAAGCCACTGACGTTGGGAGCAGACGTCAGTGACTTCATAGCTCAGTTGGTAGAGCATCGCACCGGTATCGCGAGGTCACGGGTTCAAACCCCGTTGAAGTCCTGAATTTTTTTCAGGCTTCTTTACGCAATTGCATAAATTGCGTTCACTGCGACGATCATTTCTTCATTTTCATTTCATTTCCGCCGTTCATATATGATTTATTTCATATACATCATTAACAATGAATTCAGCGTTGGTAGTGTTGGCATAATCCACTAATTTTTTTCTTCGATTTTAGTACTCCTCCATCCTACATCAGGTTCCTCTAAAATACAATTCTACTTTGAAATACACTCTGAGATCGCTGAGATACATGTGAGTGGGATTATTAACCGATAGAATTAATAATAAATTGGAAAGAAGTAATTGAACTAATGAGCATGCGCTGAACCGTGAACCTGTCCTTTTAAAGTCCTTGAGTATATTCACAGTCAACTCCTCTAAGAAGGACACCTTTGGGAGTGGCACTAAGTTTCCGTCTAAGAGCGAGGTGCATCTTATAGGGAGTAAATTAAGGTAAAGAAAGGTAGGGACAACGTTAGGTGTCCGTTTAACCGAGGTGTCCATCTTACAGAGGTGTCCGTTAAGAGAGATTTGGCTTTTAATAATTTCTGTAGTCATAATTTACGCAGGCCCCTTGTTGATACCAGCCATTGCTGATAGGGCCATTCCGCCTAAATAAAATTGACTAGTCTTGACTTGACTTGTAGGTCACCTGTGGCGCCATAAGCACGCTAGCCACTTCGATAAAGATGAAGTTCAGAAGAAGTACACAAGCGACAAATTCCCTTGTTTTTTCGATGGATGCGAACAAACCTTCAACTCCCAGCCCGAATTAGTTGAGCATGTTCAGACCCATGAGGGGACGTCAGATAAGCCTTGCATGTGTAAAGAATGTGGAGCGACGTTTGTTTCGTCCCAAAATCTGTCCAAACATACGAGACGAAGGCACACAGACCATACTGGCCCCCCGCCCAAGGGTCACAGGTGTGAAAAGTGTGATAAAATATTCTTCACCAGCTATCAGCTCGTGGTACATTTTAGGTAAGAGCTTCCATACCATGGTAGACTTCTGGGGCTGTTACTGAAGACAGTGCAGTGATTTTGTTACAAATAGTTGTGGTGAGTCCTTGGACTCAGAATGTGAAAAATTATTAGTCCAAGTCCAGAACCATCAAGTCCCAATTCAAAAAACAACGAATCCAAATCTGAAAATGCTTGGGCCTTTATGTAACCAGACAGTTAATCTGAAGACAGTCCCCAAAACTCTGTATTACACAGGGCTCGAAATTGCGAATGATACGGTCGCCAGTGTGACTAACATTTTCTCCTTGGCGACTAAAAATTCTGCTTTAGTTCGCCAAAGTGGCGAACATTTCATCTTATCTTGCTTTGCGTTCATCATAAACAAAGCCACCTTACCTCTAAATTTATACCGACTTCTATCCATGATATTTGCAAATCTGATGGATCGCGCCATACTATCAGGCTGCTTCATTTACATTATACAAACTGGCGACTATATTTTTCCAGTTGGTCACCAAAAGGCGACCCAAGGATTTTTTTAATTTCGAGCCCTGTTACAGTATACTGAAATTAAAATGTAGCCCTTCTATTTAAAACACAACAAAGGCTAAATGAAATATGCATCGTTCAACAACTGCCATAATAACGGCCACAGTAATGAACAGAATACTTCTATAATAACACATGTGCAGGTCAATCGATCGATCTTTGCGTCCTACGGGATGCATGCCTTGAAATGTTTTGCGTCTTTGATTTTTGTGTCAGGGACGCAGGACGCAGAGGTAACAAAATCACTGGGACAGTGGAAAATATTTTCCAATAGCTGACCGCCGCGTCCCTCAGTAGCGATCCAAGTAGTCTTTGGGCTTGTTAATTTGGTCAAGTTTCTTTCTCGTTTCAAGTGCGTGTTAAATAAAAAATATATATATCTAAAATGTCTAATGAGTTTCTTCAGATGGGACAAAAAAAATTGCCCTTATTTACATACAGTTTTGCCGTCAATTTTCTGCTGCAATAGAACACGAATTAACAAGGGTGGTAAATAAATGAAAATTCAGTTTAATTTCTTTTATTTCACCAGGTCAATAGAGTAATTAGCAGTTCTCACAGCCTTGTCTGTAATTTATGCTATGCAGAAAATTAGCAAGGTTATAAAATACAACCATAACTAACTTTCTTTCTTACAGATGCCACACAGGGGAAAAGCCATACAAATGCGACCTTTGCGGGAAAGATTTTGTGCAAAAGTCTGGTCTGAGGAAACACATCAGGTAGGTAACGGCTACTCTTTCTCGAAAAAAAATTGTTGAATTAAATACTAAGAGTAAAAAAAGATCATCACAGTTATAGATGCAACTTTTGCAGTTACTCGATCAAATCATTTTTGTTTGGATAGTCGGTCAGACGATTCGTAAGGTGGTCTGTTCGACGGTCCTTTCTGATTCGTCAGCCGGTCCTTTGTGTTGACGGTTTGTCAGTCAGCCAGTCATCAGTAAGTCAGACATTCAATCAGGTGTTCGGCCAGTCAGTCATCTAGTGTCAAAATTAATCATTCAGTAGGTCAGCCAAAAACCTAGGCAGTACAGATAAAGTGGCGTTTGTGCGCAGGTTCGTACACGATAGCGCTTTTCAGAAATGTGATTAGACGAACACACGGAAAGAGAACTTAACTTAAGAGTGTGATCCATTCCGTTAATCTGGGACGCATCGAGCATTAAGGTTAGATCGAATTTTAGCAGTTCTTTAGTCAACGAATCAGTCATGCTAACCTTCTTTCCTTTATTTTTCTTGTCTTTCCATTTCTCCTTTGCGTACGCTTGCCTGCTTTGTCAGTCAGTCAGTCAGCAGGACAAGCAGCTTATCATTCTGTCAGTCAGTCAGTCAATCAGTCAGTCTGCCTAGCACTCAGTCAGTCGTCAGGAAGTCAGTTTGTTAATTAATCAATCAGCCGGTATAATATCAGTCCCTCAGCCAATCAGTGAGTAAGTCACAACTATCAAATATTCAATCAGTCGATCAATTTAATTAAACAAACGAAACAACAAACCTATCAAGTTACTATTTCGAGCTACAGTCAAACCTGTATTAAGCGGACACCCTCGATGCTGTAGTGTCCGCTTAATACAGGGTGTCCGCCTAATACAGGTTTCGATAGATAACGTCATATGAGATGTCAAATGCCATTGAAATGAACAGTGGAAATGTTAAGAATACTCCCAGAGACTTTGACGATATACGTTTAAATTAATTTCTTTATCAAAGTGGACCAATTGGTCATAGTACCATAAACATAGATTGCAACTCAGATTTAAAGAAATCAGAAAAGTGAAACAAGCTCTATACAAACAAAACGAAATAGAAAACAATACTGTCTGTACTGTACTGTGAAACTAATCAAATAAGTTCGTCTAGTCTCGGTTTTTTTTAAATGTAAAAATGGAAAAAGTTGTGGGTGGCAGTTCGAGGTAACCTTTCGCATTTCCGGTGTCTGGCATGTTGGGTAGTGAAATTTGATTACAAGTGTCCGTTTAATACAGGTTGGCAACAATAGAAATGACTATTTCAGGTACTTTTTAGGTGTCCGCGTCCGCTTAATAGCTAGGTGTCCGCGTAATAAAGGTTTCGTTTAAAGTAAATAAGGGAAATAAATTTTGGGACTTCGGCTACTGTCCGCTTAATAGAGGGTGTCCGCTTAATACAGGTTTCACTGTAGTTCAAGCAAACTGAGTTCCTTTCTTCCGTGCAATTTTCAGGTGTAAACGCTGTCCGATGGTTGAGGGTCGCCCTAATAACCCGAGAAGTGCCAAGAAGTATGCGTGTGAGCACTGCGACAAAATGTTCCCAGGTCCCTCGGACCTAAAAGCTCATGTACGGACCCACACAGGAGAAAAGCCATATGCGTGTAGCGTGTGTCAGAAGGGATTCAGCCAGCCTGGCAACCTTACTAAGCATATCAGGTGAGTGTGTACACGGAGAGAAGGCCTACAATGTAAATATGCGACGTATGTGTGAGAGCACCTGCTTTCCACCAATGTGGCCCCGCTACGTGGATGCGCTACCTCTAAATAATTTTTGATGCTATTCACTTCTTTATATTCACAGACCTCCCAGTGAGGTACTCTTGAGTAAGACGTCTCCCATTCTTAAACTTTCATCATTACTGCTTTCTGAATCCTACATAGCCATAGGGTGTGGGAAAAGCATGCTAGCCAAAATGTAACAGTCTGCGGTCTCTTACAGCAACAATGAAACACGGAAATCAATGAATGCTTTTCATTCAACGAGTTACCCGTCGCTTAGTTTCCCACTTAAGTCTTGGTTTAGAGACCCCACTATTCCTTCGCTTTGACGATTCGCTCTGGCTACCTCTCGAAACCTTTTTTTTCTTTTTTTTTTTTTTAATCTTTTTACGGTGGTAAATACGCCGTACGTGACTCCTTATCGAATTCTTAATTCTTCCTTTGATGAACAAGCATATTCAAGGCAATTAAAAGGAGAATCTAGCATTTTAGCGGAAGCCACTTAAGGTCCTTTTCGTCTCGTAAGTCATCTTTGCAGTTATTTTGTACGCTCTTGCCTTCCCCACGCTCACTGCTCATCGAAAAAAGTGTCTCCTTTAGTAGAACATTGCGTGGATGACGACATGTACATGTCAATACCATGGGTGTGACACATTGTGTCCCCCTCCCCCCTGAAAAATCCAAGCTTCGCCCCTTGAAGAGGTTTGTCAAGACATGTTGTAAAACCTGGAACTCCGAAACAAACTTCGGAACACTCCGTTCTTTCGATTTGACATATTTCTACGTGGACGTTGCGGGGTGTTCCGGTGTTCCTGCGGTGCTTACCATTTACACAAACCACCCGAGTGGAAATCTTGGACATAAAAATAAAATAAAATTCGTGGTGGGAGAACGACCCGCTACAATGTATATCCAAAACAGCTGAACAGACTAAAAGAGTAGAAGAAATTACATCTCCTGAAATCACAGCTCTTGTTTTCTAAAGCCCCCCAAACCGAATGGGGTGAACCATATGATTTTCCAACCAGAATGCGGCTTATTAAAGACTTACTCAGTAACTTTTGTTGAATGTTTAATCAGGTATGTGCACAACAAAGAACAGCGGCCCAAAGAGAAGGAGCGAGAGAAGAAATTTTTCTGCAGTCTCTGTGGCAAAGCCTTCCTTTGTCCTAGCAGTTTAGCTATGCACTGTCGCACACATTCAGGTGATAAACCGTACTCGTGTGAAAAGTGCGGTCAGTCTTTCGCTCAGGCTGGAAATCTCAAGAAGCACTTCAAACGCTGGCATAACGACGATGCTGAAGCTAGACCAAGGTAGGTGACTGCGGGTCGCTTTCAACAAGCGCTTTATGATTGGCCAAAACAATCTCACGCCATTCTCTTAGCCAATCTGAACTAGAACTACAGTAGTGTCGTATAGTCCCTTACGTAGCCGTTTACTGTCTTATTACGCAACGCCTCTTCCCAAAAATTCTTTTGACGGAGAACGTGTCATGACGAGACAAATAACGGCTGTTTTGGCGCCTATGCAGAGTTTGCCTGCTCGCACTGTAGAGTAGGGTTGTAATCGTGTACTTTTTTAGTTGTTAATGAAGCCTTCTTAATGCCGATACCTAAAGGTCAGAGCCAAGTATCCACACCAAATAGGTGTCTTTAGAACGCTGGACAAAACAAATCAACGCTTACCTTCTGCTGCACAAAATTCACAAGCAATTTAAAGCAATCGCCTCATAAATTTGGATTTTGATTTGGTTGTTAGTAATTTTCTTCTCTCTTCCTGCCTATAGAAGAAAGAAGGGGAAAGGAAATAAATCGACAAGTGGAACAACTCTACCTGAAGCTGGGACAAGTTCGGAGGTTCCTCAATCTGAAGCAGCTGGAGCACCAAACCCCTCTTCTCTTCCTCCCCGTCAAACTGGTATAGAAGAAAATGCAGAGACGCCTGGTGACACGCCTCATGTCCAGACGTCGCAAAGCAACAGTACCGCTGACGCTCAAGTCTCGTCGTCCACCTCTGTACCAGGCTCTGTCCCTAGCTCTCAGCCATCGGCGTCGCAAGTCGGTCAAACGTCTTGTACGCCTTTGAACTCACCAAGCAACCTCTATGTAACAAGGCCGCTGAACCCAGGCGTCACCACTTCTTCCGCAGCTCAAAGAATCCCCGTCTTGTTTGGTTACGTCGCCCCCTTGGATACCAACGCTGTGCAAAATTCCCAGCCACCTCCATCTACAGTGAGAATATCGGGTGATTCGATGCATCAAAGTATGCTCACGGGGCCCCTGAATACCCCACCCCTGCCGACACAGGGCGGAAATCCGGCCTCTATGTCCGCCCAAGAGCTCCAGCAAGTAGTGATCTCGAGGATGCTTGCTTCCGAGAGCACAGACAACCCATTCGTGCCTCTAAACGTCTCCGGGATTTCCTCTAATCAGCCTCCGAGACCCCATGTCCTACTTCCCCACGTACATTCCCTCCTCAACCCCTCTGGTGTCAGTTCCTCCTCTTCCTCTGGGGGAGAGGTGACAGTGTGGCCGTTTTCTCCTAACAACAATTTGTTCTAACAGCAATACAACAAAATGGGTGTGCGAATCAAATTCAGCCCTTTTTGTTTAACCCGTTAAACCCTAAGATCAAAATTTGAATTCTCATTTGTTGCCCCTATTCATTTCTTACCAAAGTAGTGGGGAGAAGTTGATAAAAAAAATCAAGCAAATTCATCTCGTGTGACCATGTCCGTAATTCTCATGACCACTCTGTTTTACAAAGCATTGACAATACAAGGAGGAATTTGATGCTGATCACTCTTAGGGCTTAAAGGGCTAACCCTTGGATGGACAGGCACATGGTGAACTTTATTTACACTTAGTGTCTCTAGGTCTCATTTTAAAAGCCTCAATAGTTTCTGTTTATAAAAATCACTGGTTCATCGAACATGATGATGAATTGTGTTGATTCTAATGCAAATTCTCCTCATTAGTTACATTAGAAATAATTATAGAGTGTTAAGAATCTACCTATTGGTGTTAAGGCGAGGTATTAATAACATAAAGGGCGTTACTCAGAGGGACTTAGATAAAAGCGAGTCTCATTCTTAAACCTTTTTATTTTTAACTGACATCACAAGGAGCGGCAAGGAAACAGCGTTTTAAAATATGCTCGTGAAATGCGGCGAAAAAACGCGTGAGCTTGAAGCAAGACTAGAACGCCTTTTCTTTCCTTTTACCAGTGTTTTACCTCTTTTCTGTCGCTTTATGACATTTTAAATAACGGAAATGTCGTGATTAACTTAGCCATAGTTTGAAAATCGTGTGTGTTTAAGGCGTTTTATGGTTGACATGACCCGTGCAAAGTGCGAGAAAGTCACGCGTGTCAACGCACCTCTGTCAGTCACGTTTTGCAGGGTTTCATTCCAACAGCAGCTCTATTTTACAACGGAAGCACAACTTGTTGCTGGATATGGTAAATATATACC